TGTCACCACCCCCCCCGACGCCTTAGAAATCTTCGCCACCGCAAACTTCACCTCATCATGCACCCGAGATGGACCATGCTGGTGCTTGCATCTCAGGGCATGATGCGGGTCTGCTGGTTCAACATAGGCAGTGCCACAAACATACCTCCCCACCACCCGCAGCTGCTGAATTGGGAGCCCGAGCCGTATAGCTGCAGCAATGCCCCATTCAGCCACAGTAAATGTGAGATCTGAGTGAGTCGGAACCGCCGAAACCCATGCACCAGCCCCCGGGCCCTGAAGGGATGTGAAACGGGCCAAGGTAGCATCGTCACGAGCCAAGCGGCGCAGTGCCTGGAGCTCCTCTACAGCTAACTGCCGCTGCCGCGCCTGAAAAAGCCGAACCGGAGGGGCCGCTACACACAGAGGTAAGCTCGGTATCTCCTGGCGGATAGTCGCTGGCAGCTGCTCAAGAAACTCTGCCCCTGTCGAAGTGGTGAGGTACTCTGCAAACATCGCCTCCTCGCCCGCCACCCCTAACTGTGCAATGTGACGCGCAGCCTGCGCCCACCCACAAACATAGGACAGTGGGCTCAAAGAGGCCGCCGCCCGGATCCCGAACCCTCCGAGTCGCACAAGGAGATGCAGCTGCATGCGTGCGCGCCTAGACCGGTCGGGGTCCTGCTCCCAAGTGCCAGATAAGAAAAGCTGCTCAAAGCAATCCTCCAAACAGCTGTCCCAATCCCTAAAAGCCTCAACCACCTCCGGACGCTGCGGCATAGTCTGGGCGAGGTACATCGACCACGCTGACACTACAATGGCGAGGAGGTGTGAAGCCATCTGGGGGTGGTCGAGCAAGGGGAGCCATGGCAGTGGCGCCTGCAACTGTCGAAGCCGCTCCCGTAGCCTGACAACCTCCCAATCCTCCTCCCCAATAGGCACGCCCACCACAGTAAGGCCCTCCTCCACCCAATGCATCCCCAATGGCAGTGCCTGCTCCACATCCCTGCCCTCGCGCCCCCAAAACCGACACTTGTGCGCCTGCACTTCCAGCCCCACCCACTCCAACCGCTCCCGCATCTGCGGAGATAACTCTCGAAACGGGAGCTTGAATACGAAGAAGGCACGTGCGTGAGAGGTAGCTCTGCGTTCGTTCCTTAGTCGTTTCCTTGTGCGCACACTACTTGCTAGTTCACGGGGAGAATTGGCAAGAGTTCCACTAGGAAAACATCACAATGATAGTTCAGAATGATTGCAACAACATTGGCATGCATCACTACATCAGAGCTAGCACAACTGCTGGTCGACCTCCAGCGCAGCACGGTCGACCGCGTTCCAGCGCAGCAATGCTCGCACCGCTCCAGCGCTGCAGAGCTGCGGCGCGCCAACGTTGCAAGTCTGCGGTGCGCCAACGCTGCAGCAAGTCGGCTGCACAGCGTTGCACCCGCATGACAACGGTGCACCTGCTTCGCAGGTGTGCGCGGCTGGTTGGCGTCCAACTCCTCGTCACGTGCCCAGCGCAGACATTCCCGCTCGTGACGGCGCCCATCAGCCACGTCGACCTCGGGATACCACCCCCGAGGTCGTCCTCGCAGAATCCGCCCCCGGCGACCTTCGCACACGTCGCCCGGGTATCCCGGTCGACCGGGCAACCCTTCCTGGTCGTCCAGCCCTGCCTGACGCCGGCTACACCAAGCCCGGCGTCCCCAGGTCGGCGTCCTAACATCCTGGTCGGCGTCCTCTCGCCCAGGACGCCGTCCAGACGCCCCAGTCGGCGTCCAGACGCCCGGGACGCCGAGCAAGCGCTCAGGTCGGCGTCCAGCCTCTCCTGACGCCGAGCAGACGCCCAGGTCGGCCCAGGACGCCCAGCAGACGCCCCGGTCGACGTCCAGGCGCACAGGACGCCTGGCAGACGCCCAGCTCGGCGTCCAGCCTCCCAGGACGCCGTGCAGATGCCCAGGACGCCGCCCAGACACTAAGGACGGCGTCCACCTGCTCGGCGCCCATGCAGTGGCCCCCGTGCCCACTGCTGCAGGTCGGCTGCATCTCCCGCGCACCCGACCACGAGGTCGGCTCCGCCCAAGCGAGGACGGGGCCAAACACAACTCCCGTTGACACTCCCCTGCCGCGTTCACGCTTGGGCCCCCAGCCCACACGGCAGCACTGCTCGGAAGACAGCTCGGCGGCGTGCACACAACACACAGCACGCCGGTCACCGCACCAGCCATGCATGAGGGCATGGCACCTACTGCTGCACGTCATTGTCGCCGTCGCCGACTTCGGCCAGGCGCACTTGGCCGATCACGACGGAGCACCGGTTGAAGGCCGGGTAGTGCAGCGCCTTCGTCAGGAAGTCAGCCGGCTGCTCGGTGGTCGGGATGTACTGCAGCGCAAACTTCCCACGCTTCACCATGTGCTGCAGCCAGGCCTGTCGCCGCTCCATGTGCTTGAGGTTGCCCGTCAACCCCATGCCCTCGGCGACTGTGATGGCCGACTTGTTGTCCACGCGAAGGACCGTCGGCTTCCCGGCGTCCAGCTGCCGGAACTCTGCCAGGAGGAAGCGAAGTCGGCGTCCTTCCTTCCCGGCGTCGACGGCCGCCACGTACTCCGACTCGGTCGACGACAGCGTCGCGCACTTGATGCGCTGACTCGACCAGGAGACCGCGGCCCCTCTGTAGACGAACACGTAGCCTCCCGTGCTCGTCCGGTTCTGCTTGTCGCCGGCATCGTCGGCGTCCACGTAGCCGACCAGCTCGAGCGTCTCCGGACCACCGCCGAACTCCAAGGCGGTGTCGCGTGTGTTGGCAAGATAGGCGAGGCAGCGGTCGACCTCGCGCCAATGCTGGTCGCTCCTCACCGTGAGGCCGCTCCCCAGCTTGCTGCAGGCGAAGGCGATGTCCGGCCTCGTCGTCGTCGCCGTGAACTGCAGCGAGCCGACCTTCTGCCGGTACTCCTCCTCCTCGCGCCCCTGCGCCTCCTCGTCGTCGAAGGTGAGCTCAGCGTAGGCGTCGACGGAGACCGGCGTCTTTGGAGTCCGGCCTCTCTGCTCCTCGTCGATGAAGCGCCTACACAGCTTGTCGGCGTAGCCTTGCTGGTGCAGCCACAGCTTCCTCGCCGGCCTGTCGCGCACGATCTCCAGGCCGAGGTACTTCTGCACCGGCGAGATCTCGCGCAGCTCGAAGGCGGCCTCCAGCAGCTCCTTCAGCTCCCTCAGCATCGCGGCGCTGCTGCTGGCGGCGAGCAGGTTGTCGACGTAGACCAGCACCCAGCAGGCCACTCCATCGTCGCCGACCTTGAAGTACAGAGCCTCGTCGACTTGGCTCTTCTTCCACCCGGCGCCGACCAGCACGTCGTTGAGCGCCAAGTACCACAGCAGCGGCGACTGCTTCAGCCCGTACAGGCTCTTCAACAGCTTGCACACCCGGCCGGTTCCGTCATTGAAGTAGTCCGGCTGCGACATGTACAGCACCCTGTCGAGCTTGCTCTGCAGGAAGGCGTTCTTCATGTCGAGCTGCATCAGGTTGAGGTTGAGCACGGCGACAATGCTGAGGAAGATCCTCAGCATGACGTAGCTGCCCACCGGCGCGAATGTCTCGTCGTAGTCGGCGCCGTACACCTGCGTGAAGCCCTTCACGACCAGCCTCACCTTCTCGCGCTCGACGGTGTCGTCGATGCGGTACTTCGTGGTCAACACCCACCGGTTCTTCATGATGTTCACTCCCGGCGGGCGTTCTACCAGCTCCCACGTGCCCATGGCGAGGAGACTGCGGATCTCTTCCTCCATGGCGGCCTTCACCGCCGGGCCCTTCCAGCTCGCCAGCGCCTCCTTCACCGTCATCGTCGCGATGTCCCAGCGGTGTTCGGGGTCGGCGTGCATGTCGGGGTCGAGCTCCGGGAAGTCCTCATCTTCCTCGGCGTCGTCGTACAAGATATCGTCCTCGTCCTCGACGTCGTATACTGAGGTGAAGGCAGCCGGTGGGAGGCAGACATGGTAGGTTAGCCGCTCCGGCGGCCTCCGGACTCGTCCTGAACGCCGCAGTGCAGGCTGCCCGGGGTCACCCGCCACGTATGTCACAATAACTGAACGAGGAATGAATGAACTAGCAGTGAAATGAGTACAAGTACCTAACCCTAGAATTGTGTACCCCCTATAGGCTAACCCACTGTAGCCTAAACAAGCACAACACATATAATGTTTGACACACCCCCATAGGCAAAGTGGGGGAGAGCAAGGGGTCACAAGACCAGTCAAAGCAAAGCAAAACAAGCTCAGGGTGGATCTCAAGGACACCACACAAATTCCGAGCACAAGCAAGTGGTCTCAAGACCAGTTCACATGCAGGATGATAATATAACAAGAGATACAGTGATAACAACCTAGCAAGTGAAAAACATGCAGGCATATATATAAAGATCACAGTACAAGCAGAGTCAAGAAGTAAGCAAGTGAGGTCCAGCAGGCACAAGGCCTAGAAGAGTACAGAAACGCTGATGGTCACAAGGCTGAAGCGCCTTGGTGAACACATCAGCAAGGTTGGCCTCAGTGGCCACGTAACGCAGACAAAGCTGACCATGCTGCTGCAGCTCTCGAGCAAGGAAGTACCGCAGGGCGATGTGCTTCGTTCTGTGCTCCAGTCTGTGCTCCTCACACAAGGCAATGGCAGCCTGGTTGTCGACGTACAGTACTGGAGGAGAACGAGGCCGCTCTCCCAAGTCGGTCAGCAGGTAGGTCAGCCAGCGTAGCTCCTGGGCAGCCATGGCTGTGGCGTAGATCTCAGCCTCACAACTGGAGCTGAGAACAGAAGAAGAGCGTGTAGAACGCCAAGAAACTGAGCCGGAGCCAAGGCTGAAGGTGTAACCCTGAGACGACCGCTGAGTAGCCTGGTCGTCCGCCCAAGAAGCGTCTGAGTGTCCAGTAAGTACAACTCGATCTCGCCCTCCAAGCACTAGCCCCATGCCCGACGTACTGCACAAGTAGCGCAACACCCTCTTAGCGGCATCCATGTGCTCCTTCCTGTGAC